TATTTCTGTCTCTACAAGATTTGCATTCAAAGGAATGGAACAACTTTATTAATAAGCCACAGTGTAAATTATTAGTTTCTATCACATAGAATTTGGATGGCATGGGAAACAAGGAATGAGCTTTGAAGTTAGACCCAGATTACCACTAATGGCTGTGTGACCTTGATTCAGTTATTTAACTTCTCTGACTCTTGAATTCCTCACTGGAAAAAGAAAAATAACACCAACATCATTCATTAATGGCTTGATACACTAGCACAGTGCTTATAATCCATAGGTTTTATCTTTGTCTGTTCAGGCAGCTTTAATAAAATACCATAAACTGGGTGGCTTATAAGCAACAAACATTTATTTCCAATAATTATGGCTGAGAAGTCTAAGATCAAGGCACTGGAAGATTCAATATCTGGTAAGAGACCATTCCTCATAGATGGTGACTTCTTGCTGTGTCTTCACCTGGTAGAAGGTGTAAATGAGCTTTTGGGGGCCTATTTTATAAAACCACTAGTCCCATTCATGAGGGCTTAACTCTCATGATTTAATCACCTCTCAAAGAACACACGTTCCATACTATCATATTAGAAATTAGATTTTGGAGATGGATCCAAGATGGCCAATTAGAAGCAGCCACGGTCTCTAGCACTCAGAGGAATGAAAAGGGGCAAGTAAATTCAACGTCCTCAATTGAAATATCCAGGTTCTTGCAATGGGGCTGACTTGGCAAACAACACAACCCACAGACAATGAAGAAAAGCTAGGGGTAGCGACGGCCCACCCAGGAGTGGCACAGAGCCAATGGAGCCCCCATCCCCAGCCAAGGGGATGTGATTGTGCAACCCCGCCTGGAAAACTATGCTTCTCCGTGGGTCTTTGCAACCCACAGATCAGGAGACACCCCCTTGTAAGCCCATGCCTTCAGGGCCTTGGGTCCATACACAGAGCTGTGTGGAGTTTTGGCAGAGCAGCCACTCAATCACACACAGACACTCTGGCCCCGGGATCCCTGGGAAGATGAAAAATCCACCTATGCATATCCTTAGGAAGGGGCTGAATCCAGGGTGCCAAGCAATGTCATTCTGTGGGCCCCCCTTCCACAGTACCTCACAAGTTAAGAATCACTAGCTTGGAATCCCAGTCAACCCAGCACTGGGTTGGAGTCTGTCTGAGGCAGATCCAAGTTCCAGGGGAAGAGACAGCTGCCATCTCTGTGGTTGAATTGACTCAGCTATGCCAGCCTGCCAGCTTTGGAGAATACAGGTGGTCCAGATGAGGAAGGGTCCCCACAATGCAGCACACTTGCTCTACCAAACAGCAGCCAAACTGCTTCCTTGGGCAGATTCCTGATTCCAGTCCTCCTGACTGAGTGAGACCTCCCAACTGGGGTTTCCAGCCACGTCCTACAGGTACATGCTGGCTGGCAATAGATTAGTTCCCCCCTGGGATGGAGCTTCCAGAGGAAGGAGCTGGCTGCCTCCTTTGCTATTCTGTGCTCTTCACTGATGATAACCAGGTACAGGAGAAACTGAGGCAACTAAGGTCTGGATCAGACCCTCAGAAAACTCTAGCAGCTTTATAGTAGAGTGGCCTGTTAAAATTAAAAAAAAAAACAGAAAACAGCAACATCAACAAAAACCCCATAAAAAACTTCATTCCACCTCAAAGATGAGAAAGGGTCAACACAAAAATTCTGAAAACTCAAAAAGCCAGAGTGCTTCTTCTCCTCCAAATAACTGTAGCACCCCTCCAGCAAGAGCACAGAGCTGGGCTGAGGATAAGATGGCTGAATTGACAGAACTAGGCTTCAGAAGGTGAGTAATAACAAACTTAGCTGAACTAAAGCAGCAAGTTGTAACCCAATGCAAAAAAAAAGCTAAGAATCATGATTAATACTGGAGCTGTTAACCAGAATAACCAGTTTAGAGAGGAACATAACTGGCCTGATGGAGCTGAAAAAATACAACACTAGAAATTAACAATGCAGTCACAAGTATCAATAGCAGAATAGACAAAGAAGAGGAAGGAAAGAATCTCAGAGCTTGAAGACTATCTTTCTGAAATAAGACAGGCAGACAAGAATAGAGAAAAAAAGAAAGAAAAGCGATGAACAAAACCTCTGAAGAATATGGGATTATGTAAAGAGACCAAACCTGTGACTGATTGAGGTACCTGACAGAGATGGGGAGAATGGAACCCAGTTGGAAAACATACTGCAGGATATCATCCAGGAGAACTTCCTCAGCCTAGCAAGACAGGCCAACATTCAAATTCAAGAAATACAGAGAATCCCAGAAAGACACTCCATGAGAAGATCAACCCCAAGACACACAATCATCAGGTTCTCCAAGAAAAAAATAAAAGAAAAAATGTTAAGGGCAGCCAGAAAGAAAGGCCAGGTCACCTACAAAGGGAAACCAATTAGACTAACAGTAGATTTATCAGTAGAAAACCTACAAGCCAGAAGAGATTGGAGCCAATATTCAGTGTTCTTAAAAGAATTTCCAACACAGAATTTCAGATCTGGACAAACTAAGTTTCGTAAGTGAAGGAAAACTAAAATCCTTTACAGATAAGCAAATGCTTAGGGAATTCATCACCACCAGGCCTGCCTTGCAAGAGCTCCTGAAGGAAGCACTAAATATGAAAAGAAAAAACCAATACTAGCCACTAAAAAAAACATACTGAAGTACACAGAGCAGTAACACTATGAAGTAACCATATAAGCAAGTCTGAAAAATAACTAACTAGCATCATGATGAGAGGATCAAATTTACACATAACAGTACTAACCTAAAATGTAAATGTGCTAAATGCCCTGATTAAAAGGCACAGAATGGCAAGCTGGTTAAAGAGCTAACACCCATCAGTATACTGTCTTCAAGAGACACATCTCACATGCAAAGACACTTATAGGCTCAAAATAAAGGGGTGGAGGAAGCTTTACCAAACTAATAAAAAACCGGAAAAAAAGCAGAAGTGGTAATTTTAGTTTCTGACAAAACAGACTGTAAACCAACAAAGATCAAAAAAGACAAAGGGCATTACATAATGGTAAAGGGGTTAATTCAATAAGAAGAGCTAACTGTTCTAAATATATATGCACCCAATACATGAGCACCCAGATTCATAAAGCAGGTTCTTAGAGACCTGCTAAGGGACTTAGACTCACACACAATAATAGTGGAAGACTTAGCACCTCACTGACAATATTGAGACAGAAAATTAACAAAGATATTCAGGATCTGAACTCGGCTCTGGGTCAATTGGACCTGATATCTACAGAACTGTCCACCCAAAAACAACAGAATATACATTCTTCTCATAACCACATGGCACTTACTTTAAAATTGATCACATAATCAGAAGTAAAACACTCATCAGCAAATAAAAAAAAACCTGATATCATAACTCACTTAAAACCACAAAACTACATGGACATTGAACATGCTTCTTCTGAATGACTCTTGGGTAAAAATGAAATTAAGGAAGAAATCAAGAAGTTATTTGAAACTAATGAAAACAAAGAGACAATGTACCAGAATCTCTGGGGTGCTGCTAAAGCAGTATTAAATGGGAAATTTATAGCACTAAATATCCATGTCAAAAAGCTAGAAAGATCTTAAGTTAACAGCCTAACCACTCAAATGAACAAACTAGAGAACCAAGAGCAAAAAAAAAACCCTTTAAAAAATCAACAAATCCATGAGCTGGTTTTGTGAAAAAAGTAATGTAAAGATAGACTGCTGGCTAGACTAATAAGGAAGGAAAAAGAGAAGAATCAAACACAATTAGAAATAATAAGGGGAGTATCACCACTGACCCTACAGAAATATATGACAACTATCAGAGAATAGTATAAATACCTCTATGCACATAAACTAGAAAATCTAGAAGAAATGAATAAATTCCTGGACTCATACACCCTCCCAAGACTGAACTAAGAAGAGATTGAATCCCTGAATAAATTAATAACAAGTAAATTGAGGCAGTAATAAATAGCCTACCAACCAAAAAATGCCCAGGGCCAGATGGATTAACAGCTAAATTTTACCAGAGGTACACAGAAGAACTGGTATCATTACTACTGAAACTATTTCAAAAAGTTGAAGAGGAGGGACTCCTCCCTAACTTATTTTATGAGGCCAGCATTATCCTGATACCAAAACCTGGCAGAGATACAACAAGGAACGAAAACTTCAGGCCAACGTCCTTGATGAATATTGATGCAAAAATCCTCAATAAAATACTGGCAAACCAAATCCAGCAGCACGTCAAGATGCTTATCCATCATGATCAAATTGGCTTCACCCAGATATGCAAGATTGGTTCAACATATGCAAATCAATAAATATAATTCATCACATCAATGGAACTAAAGACAAAAACCTAATGATTATCTGTAATAGATGCAGAAAAGACCTTTGATCAAATTCAACATTCCGTCATGTTAAAACCTCTCAACAAACTAAATATTGAAGGAACATACCTCAAAATAATAGCCATATATGACAAACCCACAGTCAATATCCTACTGAATGAGCAAAAGCTAGAAGCATTTCCCTTGAAAACTGTCACAAGACAGGGGTGCCCTCTCTCACCACTCCAATTCAACATAGTATTGGAAGTTCTGGTCAGGGCAATCAGGCAAGGGAAAGAAATAAACGTTATTCAAATAGAAAGCGAAGAAGTCAAATTATTTGCAGATGACATGATCCTAGATCTAGAAACCCCATTATCTCAGCTTAAAAGTTTCCTAAGCTGATAAGCAACTTCAGTGAAGTCTCAGGATATAAAATCAATCTGCAAAAATTGCTGGTATCCCTATATACCAACAACAGGCAAGCAGAGAGTCAAATCATGAATGAACTGCCATTCACAATTGCTACAAAAAGAATAAAATACCTAGTAATACAGCTAACAAGGAAAGTGAAGGACTTCTTCAAGGAGAACTATAAAGCACTGCTCAAGGAAATCAGAGAGGACACAAACAAATGGAAAAACATTCCAGGCTCATGGATAGGAAGAATCAATATCATGAAAATGGTTGGCTCTCAGTTCCTCCTGTTTGACAGACAGCTGCATCTTCTCTTGCATCAGTATCCATGTCCCTGAGACACCATGGTGAAGGTGAAGGCCAGAGTCAGTGGATTTGGTCATATTGGGTACCTGGTCACCAGGGTTTCTTTTAACTCTGGTAAATATATTGTCACCATCAATGATCCCTTCATTGACCTCAGCTACATGGTGTACATGTTCCAGTATGATTATACCCATGGCAAATTCCATGGCACCATCAAGGCTGAGAACGGGAAGCTTATCATCAATGGAAATATCATCATCTTCCGGGAGCGAGATCCCACCAAAATCAAATGGGGCAGTGCTGGTGCTGAGTATGTTGTGGAATCCACCAGCATCTTCACCACTATAGAGAGGGCTAGGGCTCACTTGAGGGAGGATCCAAAAGGGTCATCATCTCTGCCCCTTCTGCTGATGCATATTCGTGATAGGCATCACTCATGAGAATTATGACAACAGTCTCAAGATCATAAGCATTGCCTCCTGCACCATCAACTGCTTAGTGCCCCTGGCCAAGGTCATCCATGACAACTTTGGTATCATGGAAAAACTCATGACCACAGTCCATGCCATCACTGCCACCAAGAAGACTGTGGATGACCCACTGAGAAGACTGTGGCATGACAGCCACGGGGCTCTCCAGAACATCATCTTTGCCTCTAGTGGTGCTGCCAAGGCTGTGGCCAAGGCCTCCCTGAGCTGAACGGGAAGCTTACTGGCATGTCCCTCTGTATCCTCACTGCCAACTTATCAGTCATGGACATGACCTGCCATCTCGAAAAACCTGCCAGATAATGATGACATCAAGAAGGTGGTGAAGCAAGTGTTGGGAGGGCCCCCTCAAGGGCATCCTGGGCTACACTTGAGTATTAGGTTGTCTCCTCCAACTTCAACAGTGACACCCACTTTTCCGCCTTCGACGCTGGAGCTAGCATTGCCCTCAATGACTACTTTGTCAAGCTCATTTCCTGATATGACAGTGAATTTGGCTACAGCAACAGGACGGTGGACCTCATGGCTCACATGGCCTCCAAACAGTGAGAACCCCCAAACCACCAGTCCTAGCGAGAGCACGAGAGTAAGAGAGAGGCCCTCACTGCTGGGGAGTCTCTGCCTTACTCAGTCCTCCATCACACTGAGAATCCCCCCTCCTCAGAGTTTCCATGCAGACCCCCTGAAGAAGAAGGGGCCTAGGGAGCCCCACCTTGTTTTGTACCATCAATGAAGTCCCCTGTGCTCAGTCAAAAAAAAAAAAAAGAAAATGGTCATACTGCCCAAAGTAATGTATAGATTCAGTGTTATTCCCACTAAACTACCATTGACAGTATTCACAGAATGGAACCAAAAAGATCCCAAATAGCCAAGACAATCCTAGCCAAAAGAACAAAGCTGGAGGCATCAAGCTACCTGACTTCAAACTATACTACAAGGCCACAGTAACCAAAACAGCATGGTACTGGTACAAGAACAGACAAATAGACCAATGAAACAGAATCAAATACTCAGAAATAAGACCACATGCCTCCAACCATCTGATCTTCAACAAACTTTACAAAAATAAGCAATGGGGAAATGATTCCCTATTTAATAAATGGTGCTGGGAGTGCTGGCTAGCCATATGCAGAAAAATAAAACTGAACCACTTCCTTATACCATATATAATATTAACTCAAGATAGATTAAAGACTTAAATGTAAAACTCAAAACTATAGAAACCAAGAAGAAAATCTAAGCAATACTATTCAGGACATAGTCACAGGCAAAGATTTCATGATGAAAACACCAAAAGCAATTGCAACTAAAGCAAAAATTGACAAATGGATCTAATTAAACTATAGAGCTTCTGTACAACAAAAGAAACTATCATTAGAGTGAGCAGACAACCTACAGAATGGGAGAAAAATTTTGCAATATATCCATCTGACAAAGGTCTAATATCCAGAGTCGACAAGGAACTGAAACAAATTTATAAGAAACAAATGACCCCATTAAAACGTGAGCAAAGAACATTCACAGACACTATTTAATAAATGGTGCATAGTATTCCATGGTGTATATGTACCACATTTTCTTTGTCCAGTCTATCACTGATGTAAGTTTATAAACAGACTTCAGGATATTATTACAGCCGCATATGGAGTGGTAAAGCTGTGAGGAAAAGCAAGACATGACTGCAGACATCTTGACTGTTGTTTCCTTGAATGGGAAAGGTGAGGTTGAGACCTGGCATCCTTCTGGCTGCCAGTGATCTGCTATTCTCACTCCTCACCTGGGTAGCAATTGCATGGATGTTTGTTTTATAATTATGTGTTAAACTGCGCAGATAAGTCTTAAGTATTGTATTTTGCAATAAAAATGTTTAAAACTGTATGATAGTTGATTAAGAAAAATATATGAATATATATAATTTGGTTTGAAATAATGCATTTCAATGGGTTCATAGTTATGGCTGGTTGAGAATATAATGCAAATGAAGAAAAAGTGTATTTTTTTTACTTCTCTGTAATGAATATGTGTCCTTTTATAAGAAAGGGAATAACTTATTTTAATTCTTATGTACCTTGGATGGCTGAGTCTCAATCTGATACCTTAGCCAGATAACTTAGTTTCAACCATAAGCAATAGCAGCCAAAGACAGTTTAACTTTCTGTTTACTTTCTAATTATTTATTAGTCATTGTTTCCATTCAGTGGCAACTTTCATCACAAAGTTTCCCACCTATAAAGAAGAAGACAAAAAAAATGTACAATTAGTACCTAATAGAAGGTAGTCTTATTTAGCCTCCGATTGGAGTTTCAGGGGAGTTCAGACACATTGGAGGGAAACTTAGTAAGAATATTTGCCTTGGTCTAGTGAAGTAGGACATCATAGAGGTTAGATACAGTGTAGACTGGGCTGAAAAAGAAACCCTCCAGCCTCGTTCCTTGCCCTGCTCTCCCTGACTTGCTGTCCCTTCACCCCGGTACGTTTGCACATGATCACTGCCCCTACATCCCTCCAACCCCACGCTCTGCAGTGCCCTTGCCCTCTTGGCAAGTCTCGCATACTTCACGTCTCAGCTCAAATATAACCTTCTTCAGTGAAGCCTAACCTGGCTCCTCCTTCACGTTCCCATAGAGAAATTTATACCCAAACTTACTGTATTATCTTGTCATTACCTATTTACATGTCCCACTAATTGGCGAATTCCTAGAGACAAGAATTCTGTCTTTTTGCTTTGAAATCTACAACAGCTAACACCATATCAAATACAAGGCATCCAACCAATAAATATGTGATAAATGAATAAATAAAGGAATGTTTGGGCTCTTTCAAAAAAATGATAGCTCCGAAAATTTTTAAAAGGATGAGGCAGGCTTTGGAGTAAAACTAAAAGATCTACCATGAGGACACTTACTTACTACTAAATAGACCATGCTAGAGATTTTTAAATTTATATGGGGAAAATGTTAGTCTTTAAAAGGGCACAATTTTATTGTACTTTTGAATTAATGTGGAAGTAAATCATTGGGTAGAAAGAGGCAAATAATCCAGATAATTTCTTTTATTTTGGCTTACTTAGTGAAAACTGCCACAGTGGATAACACTCAACCATCTATCTGTGTAGTTTTAAAAATGCTAAGTATTTTTTTTACCACTAGTTACTTGTTCACATTCTCAGTACCTAATAGATCATGCAATGTCCTGATTCCCCAGGAGAACTGGATTATTTTCTTCCTAAAAATCCATCATATTCAGAGCTTTACTAATTTTGTTTCAAGCAGTATGTGCAATGATTTCTCATTAATCATTTACAACATGCCTGTTTATTATGTGGAGAGAGAGAGATACTAGGGAAGAAATGAGAAAGATAAAATAAAAAGCAATTTCAAAATGTCAGGAATTCACCTAATCTCAAGGTTAATTTTATTTTCCATGAAGGAAGAATGTGACTAGTTAGTAATAATAACCAACTCATTTATTTACAAATACTTCCTGAGTGGGCAATACTCGTGAAGTATGTTGTCTAATGGGGAATATGGACAGGTGAGAAGGCATTAAACCCATAGTGTAGTAAAGCTGTGGCCCCAGAGCGTTAGAGCAGCAGGCCGAGGCGTGAAGGTTGTGTAGAAGGAGCAGAGCTCACTGGAGTCATAGAGGTAGAAGGCTGCTGCTGAGCCCCCTCTACAGGAGGCATGGCACTGGTGTAAATTACAACGTTGCAGTGACTATGAAAAAAAAGTGGACTAGATTTAAGAGAGACACAAGATGTATATTTCCAAAGATTTGGCATTGTATTGAGCATAAAGAGGTGAGAGAGGGAGGAGTTGAATATGAGATCGCTATTTCTGGCTTGGGTAAAAAAGCACATTTACCAAGTTAGGGAAGATAAGAATGAAAAAAGATTTTGTTAGGTGACTGTGAGTTCAATTTTGGACACATGGAGTGAGATATGCATGGGAGATATCCAAAGAGAAACATCCATCAATAGGTTGGAGATTATATAGAGAGATAAGATATATAATAAGGTATATATCTACATGTATATATGCATATACATATATGGAACCCAAATATTAGGGTTTCCATAAAAACAACAGAGAAATCAGAGGAGAGGAAATTAGGAAGCAACATATCAAGAAAATTTCTCAGAACTGCAGAATGAGAGTTTACAGATTAAAAGGGCCACTAAGTGTCCAGCATAATATATGCAAAAAGATCCATGACAAGACAACATCAGCATGAAATTTTACAACACTAAGGAAAAGGAGAAGACACCAAGAGCTTCCCAAGAGAGCAAACAGATCACACACAAAAGGCTGAGATTTAGAATAGCATCAATAGGCTTATCAGTAGCAACCCTGGAAGCTAAAAGAGCATTTAGCATTTAACCCTAATGCTAAAATGCCTTAGCATTTCTGCAGGAACCTTAGCATTTCTGCAGGAAATCACTGCCATGTGCCATGTTAAAATTCTGCAGTAAGCCAAGCAACCAACTGGATGAAGATATCTTCAGCTGTGGAAGCTGTCAGATAATTTACCTCATGTATACCTTTCTCCAGAAACTGAAAAAAAAAAAGCTCTACTAAAGTATGGAAGCAAACCAAAAAAGAGGAAGACATAGGGGTCCAGAAAATAGGAACCTGAAGTAGGAAAAAAGCAAAGGGATTTCCCAGAACGGTGATGCAACTCAAAGGACAGCCGTGCCACAGCCTTAGAAATGACCAGTCTAAAATGAAATGGAGAATTGGGGGCTCCAGGAAGAATGGCCTCAAGAAAACAAAGCTACAATGAGGTATGACCTTACATGTCATAATTGTGAGGGGAAAGCTATATGCTGATGGCGAACTTGTGGGAGAATAAGCAATGTGAACATAGAAAACTAAGCAAACAAAAATCAAGGCAGCTATTAAACCCAGGTAAAACAAAAGTCAGGCAAGAAGATGGTTCAGTTGTAAATAATATTTATATACAGTTTTAACGAGGTGAACTGAATTTTGACCTAACCAAAAACGGTACAGTTGTGTTGCAATGATGGGGGAGGTAGCGTGGAAGGGAGCCTGCAGAGAACAAAATTGTCGTTTGCTGTAGTAAGAAGTTACTGAAATAGATCTAAAATGTACATATCAAGCAGTAGCATTATAAACATGTTAATTATGTCTATGGAGAGAAATAGAAAAAAAAGGCTTAAAATGTTGGAAGTGATGAGCATGAAAGCATATGGGGGTATAAGACAAGATACTACTGGGTGTTTTTTGGTTTGTTTGTTTTGTTTAAAACCTTGGAGAATGACCTTTCAGAAAGTTGTCAATGTAGAACTTTGTCTAAAAAAATAGTTTTCTACCGTATGATCTAGCAGTTCTACTACTGGGCATATATCCAAAGGAAAGGAGATCAGAACATTGAAGAGGTGTCTGTAGCTCTCATGTTGATTGCAGCACTATTCACAATAGCTAAGATGTGGAATCAACCTGTGCCCATCAACAGATGAATGAATAAAGAAAATGTGGTACAGATACACAATGGAATGCCGTTCTTTCATTAAAAAGAATGAAGTTTTATCATTTATGGCAACATGGATGAGCTTAGAGGATCTTATGTTAAGTAAAATAAGCCAGGCTTATTTTCAGGGGTTGCAGGTGTCAAAGGACTGAAAACTGGGATGCTGGATGTGTCATGCATTGGGGATTGCCAGTGTCAGGACCTAAAGGTAAAGGGGAAGATTGCACCTGGGGGATGTGAGGGGCAGTGACCCTGCTGTTGGAATACTGTTCAGTTAGCCAGCAAGAACCTTGGAACCTCAAAGGAAAGGCGCCTTACACCTGTGTGGGGCCTCATGTCCTAGTGGGTTATTTGA